CACTTCTCTCAAATACGTCCCCCTGTATGCGCTCATTCTCCTAATGGGGAATTACCTCAACACAAGGTTTTTACAGTGCTTGATGATGTTCTGCAAGTTATCTAAGCTTGTTTCAAAAAAAGGCCCTGTAGCATCCCACCTTTAAATGTTCTACAATGTCCTTGTTCAAAACAATCCAGAACATTTTTGCATGCAGAAATATAGCATTCTATGAAAAGCATCAGATTTTCTTAAGAAATAAGCATTTTCTGGCAGAAATTACAAGTCCCATTATACCTCCTTACAAAAGATTGGAAGGCCAAGCTTTGATTCACTTGCTGCATTTGCATCTTCATCTAAGCAATTTTTGATATCTGCTTCAATTCAATATCTGTATATTGATAATCACAATATACACCGAGTCTCCAGAGGATTCCTAAGTTATGGAGTTTGGATTGCCTGGAATAGAGCAGACCTTGGTATTTTATACCCTTAGACCACATTTGGCCCCTTTGGCTGTCCCTGACCAGCCTGTGTGGATTGCTTTTGCTTCAAAGACAACTGCTTTAAAAAAAAAAAAATTACGTATGCATTCCTATGTACTTTCACAGCCCTATTGATTCTTTTCAACAATTCCAGTTTCTCATGTGGCCTCTTGGGAAAATTAATTGTCCATTTCTGAATTAGAGGGAAATGGATTTGCTGTTAACATACCCAGGGATGTTACAAACAGATTACACCATAGACCTGGTTCCACGTGTGGTTAACATTCAGTTGATTCCATTTTAATGTTGAGTTTTCCAACGATACTCTCAAAGATTCATTTGTTGAGAATGTTGTCTTCCTCCACTTTAAGATCTCTTTGTTTTATTGAAATCTGGAAATAACACAGTGATCTTTGACCTCTAACATCTATAAAGGAAATAAATTTCTTTTGGCTTAGCTTTCATCTATTTTTATCATCTATTTTAATTAAATTGTTACATTAAAAAAAACCTGTTAAGAACTCATTGAAAAGACATACAAAGAGAAATCATGCAAAAGGGTAAGGAATGTTGTTGGAATTTCCTTTTTTTAAAGCCCTCCCTCCCCCCTCCAGTTTTCTATTTCTGGTATCATATTTGGAATTCATAGCTTGGCTTCCTATTGTAGCACCCCACAGAGTTCTGTTTTTAAGAGTACTATGCTTACAGCTGTGTGTAAAGGAAACCACAGGAAAAGTTGGTTAGTTATGCAATGTAAGGAATGAAACTTTCAGTCATTTATATAAACATATAGCATATAAACATTATGGTGTATGTGTGTGTTGTATTATAAAATGCAATTATTGCTTTAATAATATGATGTATGTAATCAAAAATAACCTGTTCACTGAGATGAAAATTGTTGCAACCTTAAGTATATTTCCTTGATGTATTGAATTCCATAGATATTATTTTTGAAAAATGTTCTTAAGGGGCAATCTTATACCCTACACTATTGACCAAGTTAAGTTTACATACAAGATGTTATCCAAACCTTACTTTGAACATATTTGGGAATCTATTTATCACATGAATGTAGAAGAAGGTAGTACAATACCTCATTGCCAGTTTTTGCCTTGGATTCCTCTCAGATACAGTTCTCCCTAAGCCAAGATTTTATTCCCTAAAACTCAGAAGGAATTTGAAGACCATGTGCTTTTGTCTTCATTCTTGCCCAATTTAGAAATATTGAGAATGAGGAGGGAAATTTCCTTTCCCCATGAAGGTCTGCATCAGAAAATGTGGCACTCTCATAATGAAAGGAAAGAAAAACAAACTAACTTGCACACTTCTCCTCATCCACATCTTCGCATAGATATTTGGTGGTGTGATCTCAGAGGATTGATAGCGGCACACAGTCATGAGCTTCAGGCCTCCACTGCAATAAGGCAAGTTTAAACAGCTGGTTCACAACCCTAAACCTCATTTATATCTTATTATTGAGCATTGGTGTCTAGAAGTGTTGTCTGTTCTTTGTTGGGGTGTGATGAAAGATAAGAAAGTCAAAGGGGTAGTTATGAATATAAATGGAAGCTCTGCATGCACTCTGATTCATGCAGAATGGAACAGGGCTTTGATTGCCTGGTTGAAGAAATTCTGCCCCAATTGTGGTCATAAATTGAGAAGTACCTGTATTCCATCTAGCTTTATAAACCATGAGTTATTTAATCACATTGTTCTTTGACATAACTTGTGACCAACTGTTTCATGCTGTTTTGCCTTCCATCTACAATATTTTCAATAGTATTGGACAGCTCTGGAGGCATTTGCTACAAAATGTTTTCTTTTCAAGGAGATCTCCCTCTCAATCTTACTTGTGTTAACACTTCTGTTTGTATTACTTTGTTAGATTATTTTGTTCCTTTGGGAAATTCAAGAATGCCCAAGATCTCTTTCATCTCACCTGATATTGTTTAGAGATTTGCCAAGTAAGTACTTCCTAAATATATTTACAGAAGAAGTCTGAGTAATATGATTACACTTCACAGAAACACATTTACCTATGTATATGTACATATGTTTAAATTAAAGTTGGAAGTTCCATTCCAGATTAATTCATTTTGGAATAATTTTTGCCCTTGCCTAAAAAGATTTAAATATCTGAAGCCTGATCACATTTTTTCATAAACAGTGTGAAATGTTGGTATCTAGCATTCCACATTAAAAAAAAAATTTTTTTTCATCATTTTGGTGGAAGCTTCAAAGAAGATGAGCTATCAATATACCAGGAACTCTTAAATCTTCCTGTAAATCCTTGAACCCTGTGAAAAATGTAAATATCGAGAATTTTTAGTGTTGAAGTTTTTCTTAATAAAAGTTGTCATTTCCTCAAAATCTCATTAGTTTATGATACATAATAAATTATTAACATGTCAGCCATGTGTATGTACAACTCTTAAGACTGATAATTTTTCAAATGTATTTGATTAAAAAAATATACATCTGCCTATTTTCATTTGGGGTCTCAAGGGGGGTTAAAATGTTCATAAACAACTATCTAATCATTTAATCCACCTAACACCTAATTTGAAAACTATAAATACCCTGAATAAAAAGAAATGTTTTATGAAAAAAATTCCTCAAGATTAAAGTTGTTGTTCAGTATGGAATAGGAGGGGGTGGAATGTCCTTCACTGAAGGAGTTTACAAGGAAGATTGAGGGCCATCTAGTAGAGTTAGATTCCAAGATTCCTTCCAAACTATATATTCTATTAATCTGAAATGTCTCCTAAAAATAATTTAGAGAGGACCAGCTTCATTTCCACTGTCTAGTTCTTAAATATCCTAAATCCCTCACGGAAAAGCAGAATTAGTTCTTGATGTTAAGCATGTCTACATTATAGCAATAGCACTTTGACTTATATACTGCTTCATAGTGTTTTACAGCCCACTCTAAGCAGTTTACAGAGTCAGCATATTGCCCCCAACAATCTGAGTCCTCATTTTATCCATCTTGGAAGGATGGAAGACTGAGTCAACCTTGAGCCAGTGAGATTTGAACTGCCAAACTTCAGCTAGCAGTCAGCTGAAATAGCCTGCAGTACTGCACTCTAACCACTGCGTCACCTCGGCTCTATCTTATGCTTCACAAGCATGTCAAAGGTGGTATTTAATGGAAAACAGAAGTCCTATAAAATAATTGCTTTGATGTGTACATATTGATGTGGATATTGGTAAGGTAAACCCCCTACACATGCAACATAAAAGGTTCATCAATCAGGAAATGCTTATGTATGCATAATACTAATATCTACCTGACTGACTTTTATACAGACATAAAAAATTATATTAAAACAAATATTTTCATCAAATCAAGTCTACAACTCTGAGTTTAATGAGTCAGATGTTTTTCTTCCCCTGGGTGCTTACTTTAAAAGTTGTCCTTGATTACAAACTAGCCTGGGAAGAGTGCCATCCTGTTAATCTTAGCTGGCAATTTTGGACACAAGAAGAGCAAGAGATGAAATTGTGGTCATGGCAAGGAGGACTTCTAACAGTCCACATTGGCAGATGAGAGGGAATGGTGATTTTGTCTTACAAAGTTGACTACTTGCAAAAAACACTTTTGGGTTCAGTTAGACTACAAATAGAGAACATAGACTACAAATAGAGAACATAGACTACAAATAGTGAACAGGGACAAGTCTGTCTAAGATTTGCCTGTGCTAATTTATATATACACACGAGATAAATGTGATTATGGTTATCTTAAATAGAACCTTTCAGCCTAATAATGAATACATTTACTTAATTTGCCTGCTGACTACTGATACATTGTCCCTAAGTGAACTTCGGAGTTGGCAGCCCTTCAAATAGACGAGGCCTTCATCTGACAGATTCTTTTCTGAAAATAGGATACTTGCTGGGGCGTCCATGACATGGGCAAGAGGTTGAATAATGTTAAATGCTATTATTTTAATTATGTAGATCACATAATTCATATTGTTTCTGCTGTGCTGTTAGGATGCATGTGCTCTTATTGTGATTTGCTTTTGATTCCTCTAGATACATCACCCTATTCCTCATCTGTATCTCCTGCTTTGTCCATATCATGATTATGCTTACAGCTCCTTGAAATACCTTGCAATTAACAACTTGAAAATATGTAAACTGCTGGTTGGAAATCACTGAGGACTCACTGCTTGAGCAATTTCTTTTTGAGAATAGCATGCATTTTATTGAAGCCCTTTCTTGAATTGTCTTTGACAGCTTAAATGGAATCTCGGGTACCTCCTCCCATGAAAATCTGCTACCATGAAGTTGGAAGGCAGGAAATTTATTGAAGGAAGGGCCATTTAGATTTTTTCCAGCCTAATCAAAATAAATATCCATAGATTGTACGAAAAGTGCTAATCATTTAAGCGATTCTACAATGATAACTATCTGAACTATGGAAAGATGAAACCACAGGTCCCTGACATCTCTCCTCTCTTTGTTGTCTTTGGCATTGGTCTCTGAGTGCAATCTACCTATCTAAATATTGACAGGGTCATTCTTTTTTGTTTCAAAACATACTTTTCTCTGGCTTTTAAAGTCATGCTGCCAAACTTTAAAGCAGTTTTCTCTATCCTGCTGCTCTTGTTAGCTGGCTGAGGGATTATGAAAGTGGGATTTCAACATATTTGGAGGTACCAGGTTGAGGTAGGACTACTTTAAAGTAACAATCTATTGTCTTATTGCTGCAGTTGCAAAAAAGGATAGAGACAGAAGCTATAGGGTTAGATATATGATCTCTCTTCCTGATGCTTGGTGTTCCTTTTGTGCAAAAAGTTTGTAAAGATTTGCAGAGATACAGAACCAATGTGAGAACAAACTTGTCCTAAGAGAAGGTATGTAACCTACTCACTTTTTCCCCACCCTCTTTTACTCCTATGCACTTTTCTGGCAGACATCCTTGAGCATTTGAGACGGATGTGAGAGAATTTCAGTCCTCACTGGAAAACAAGCCAACTAAACATAACAGATTACATCAGCTCAGGCTTTTCAATTCCTGGATGGTAGCAGTGTGCTAATCCAAACTTCATCCTGGATTTCGCAAAGTAAAACAAGGGAGGCTGGCAAGAGCACAGATTGAGGAAACTGACGACGGCCGGCCTTGTGGGCAAGAGGCTGTATAAAGCTCCAAAATTTGTAAGCTGATCTTCAGAATTTTGATATTGGGTTCTTCGCTCCTGTATCCCTGAACAGAAGACATCTGACTGAATTTTTGCAACCTGTCATTGCGGACAGTGTAATTGGGCTTTCATCACACCAGGAGCCATGGCTAGTTTTCTGGTGCTCACTCTACTTCTGGTACCCATGAATGTCAGAGCTACCTGGAGCGCCAAGTATGCAGTAGATTGCCCAGAGTCCTGCGACAGCAGTGAATGTAAAAATCCACAGCATTGTAAGCGGACTGTGTTGGATGACTGTGGCTGTTGTAGGGTTTGTGCTGCAGCTCTGGGAGAAACTTGCTACCGGACAGTTGCAGGAATGGATGGTGTCAAATGTGGGCCTGGACTGAAGTGCCAATTCTTTTCTGAGGAAGATGATTTTGGAGATGAGTTTGGTATCTGCAAAGGTAAAGAATGGTCATTGGATAACATTATCTATCATGACAATTAATGGTCAATGTATAGCTATTGGAAATTGCTCCAAAATATATCTGTTGATCATGTGTATGTGTGTGTGTGTGTGTGTGTGTGTAAAATATATTTTGTAGGATAATTAACCTGTGATTGAAAAAGATAGTTATTGATGGTATTCATATACCTAGCAGAGGTATCTTCATTTTACCAGAGGCTATAAAATGGTTCAGAATTTCTCTACTTAGCAGACTGGAAAATAATTGCCTAAAGTACCCAAGAAGTTGAGCATTTAATCCTAATTCTACTGGCACGCTATTACCCATGGGGAAACAATAAGCAGATATTATTTGAAAAACTTATAAAAGTATTTCAAAAGTGCTTAGGTCAATATTCTTTCCCAGAGAAATATAATGTATTTTTATATGTGCTGCAATGAAGAGAATAACACCTGCATTTTATAAGATGGATATAAGCTTTAGAAGGAAAGCATAGATATGGTGATACACTCTGGTTTCTCTTCAGATTGTATAAATCTTTCACTTACATATTATGTAAAAAGCAGAAGAAGAATTCTAGAGTTAAGCTGCAGAAGGAGGATTCCATTTTTTTGATGCTGCCATGTTAAAAAAGGCATCCTGCACATTGTACACAAGTATGCCATGTAGTCAACTCTGTACTTTCTTCTTTCTACTGAAATAATTTTGTATACAGTCTCTTCTTTCTTTCTTTCTTTCTTTCTTTCTTTCTTTCTTTCTTTCTTTC